TCAGCTGCTCCTCCTTGAGCTTCCCCTCAAGCCCCTTCACTGTGGTGGAGTTCTCAGGGGGCTCAGGACAAGGGAAGAGATGAGAATCTTGACTCCATGTTTCAGAAGGCTGATTTATTACTTTATGATATATATTATATTATATTATATTATATTATATTATATTATATTATATTATATTATATTATATTATATTATATTATATTATATTATATTATATATTATCATTAATTAAACCATTATTCAAGTTTTTCCATTCCAAACTGACACCAACAGTCCTTCACCAGTGTCCTGGTTTCAACCAGGACAGAGTGAATTTTTACAATAGCTTGGAGGGGGGCTTGACCAGACCCTAATATTATTTGAACCATCATCATCATCATCATCATCATCATCATTATTATTTTGTTAGTTTGTTTGTTTGTTAGCATTGCCAGAGGCAGGGGAAAGGGACTCTCTCTTCTGAGAAGAAGGGAATTCATTCTCCTGGAGCAAGCATGAGGATAGATCAGTGTGGGAATGCAGGTCCTGACCAGAGGGAGCTCTCTGGGGGCATGGCTGTGGTCAGGTTAAGCTCTATTCTCTCTTTTTTGCATTTTTGTTATTTGCATTGCTGCTGTTGCAAGCTCATTTTCTTCTCTCATTGCTGTTTCCAGTAAATTGTTCTTATCCCAGCCCATGATCTTTGCCTTTTGTGCCTCCGATCTTTTCTCTACGGGCAGGAGAAGGGAAGCAAGTGAGCTGCATGGAGTTTTGGAGATCTGGGGAGGGGCACTAACTTGGGGAATACTGTTATTAAATAACAACAACCAATTCCTCTGCCACTGCAAATATCACAAAGTGCAAACCAGACCAATGCCAGGGCAAGACCCACCTGCAACCTCAGCACTGCCAACAATTCTGGCACAGATCCCACCACAAACCAAAGACTGTTTGAAAATGTTGCTGCAGTCCATGAACACCCCATAATCAATAGTGCAATTTCCCATCTTTTTAGATTTCAATTTAGTTCCTTTCTGGGGTGTTTGTTTTGCAACCCAAACCTCACAGGTTTTATGCAAATCTCCCAAAACCTCCATGAGCAAACATGGACATATACCTGATTTTTGGTGGATTTGCTAAAAACAACAGAGTGAACCCAACTGCAGAAACACAGGTGAGGTCTGGGAGTGCAAAGACTTCCCTGACTGGGAGAGTCAGGAAAGCAGCAATACCACAGTACACCAAATAAAATCCTCCCTTAAATCTGCCTCATTCCTTGCTGGATCCTGCTATTACACTTGGAAATATTCCCCTTGAGAGTGGGAAAAACTCCCTCTGGAGCCCTTAAGGCAGATAAGCCAGAATTCTTGACTCACTGAGTTTTTATTTCACATCCCTCTCTTGCAGCTCTCTGGCTCTTCCCAGTCTTGCCTTCCCCCTGAATTTCCTATGTAAAATGTAAAATTCCCTATGAAAAATGACTCTGCTGACCAGAAAACAAAAATAAGGTTTCCCTTGAGGCATGTCAGGCTTTCTGGCACCTACAGGGAGCTGTCCCTATCCAAACCCCGGGCCAAGGCACTGAAGACTGAGATGGGAACACCTTGATTCATCACCACAATTGAAACATTTTTCATTTGCCCATTTGAAAGCAATTTTTGGGCCATATTTCCAGCCTCAATGATGAAAGAGAAGTTTGAAATATGACATGGTGATTTATAGGGAGTTACAATGGGTTTCAAACTCATTTAGTAATGCTTAATAAGACTGTCTTCTCCATTTACTCCAAATGGGAGTAAATCTCAGCCTGGTCTGAACTCAACAGGATGAGGAAATTGGGATCAAAAAAGGACTGGAAAGTGTTCATGGTGTAAGACAGACAGGCTGAATTTTTTTTCACAGCTTTTTTTGCACAATGACAAAAGGTATGGCCTGGCCTCAGAGGTGCATCCTGTGGTCATTGGGGCTTCAGGAGGAGGAAAGCTGAAATTGCTGTTTGGTGCCTGGAAACTGAGGCTCTAACACAGTGGGGAAAGCCAAGGGAAACCAAGTTGTTTCTCAGAAGCCTTCAGGTAATTTCTGTCATTAACCACTTAGAGTGATGCCAGCCCAGTGTTCCAGAAGGTCATTAAATGGACACCCACCACCATCACATCCTCCTGTGCCCTTCAAGGAAGGTGTCTGGACCCTGTGGGCACAATTTGCTGAGCAGCTCTGGTTTGGTCTCCTTGCTGGAGAAGCTTCCAGCACTTTGTGTCCTCCACAGCCACAGCTCCTCCAAAGAGAGCAACCCAAAGCACACAAAACACATGGCAGGGCACAGAGTACTTTTGATGCCTTGAGATTTTAGCTTTTATATTTTCCAAACCCTGTGCTGCATTAGTGCATAACTCTAACTCCATATGAAGTGTCAGCTCCTGTCTCCACATCTTGGTCAGACACAACAATTCCTCTGGGCCTGGAACCCAAGGGCACCCAACAGCCTCAGGCCCAGAAAAGTATAAATAAAAGTGAATTGGGGAGGAGCAAAGTGGGGGAATGGGACTTCATTGCCTGAAGCTATAAGTGGAGAATTAACCCCTGATATGTAAATGGATGTTCCAGATTGCAAGGCAAGATGTTTTCCATTACCATCTCTATGGTAGATTATCTTTTGTCAAGTGGGCAGTTTGCCTTATCTCTCTCTGAGTGATCACAATCACACCTCCCTCCAGGGGGACATCTGCTGATAACAGCTATGGAATGTCCCTGCATGGCTGATAAGAACTGCAGCATCCCATTGGGAGATGTGAGCCCAGAGGGAGGAGCCAAGCATTCCTACCTGGATATAATCTGGAGATTCTGGAACACCAGCCAAGCATTCCTACCTGGATATAATCTGAGATTCTGGAACACCAGCCAAGCATTCCTGCCTGGATATAATCTGGAGATTCTGGAACACCAGCCAAGCATTCCTACCTGGATATAATCTGGAGATTCTGGAACACCAGCCAAGCATTCCTACCTGGATATAATCTGGAGATTCTGGAACACCAGCCAAGCATTCCTACCTGGATAGAATCTGGAGATTCTGGAACACCAGCCAAGCATTCCTACCTGGATATAATCTGGAGATTCTGGAACACCAGCCAAGCATTCCTACCTGGATATAATCTGAGATTCTGGAACACCAGCCAAGCATTCCTACCTGGATATAATCTGGAGATTCTGGAACACCAGCACGGCTTCTGCACTGGATTGCCCAGAGGAACAGCAGCTGCCTCTTGCCCTGGATCTCCAGAGGCAGAGACTGCACCTTTCTCCAGGATCCCTGCTCCAGCAGAACCAGCCCTGACACTGCAGGAGGGCTGAGCCACAATTCCAATGGTTCTGCTGCCAGCACCCTGACCCACAGGGTGTCAGGCTGGGTTCTGACTCTGGCAGTGTTGGTTTAGTTCACTGCATTGTTTATTTTATCCTTTTATTTTCTTCCCTATTAAAGAACTGTTATTTCCTGCTCCCATATTTTTGCCTGAGAGCCCCTTAATTTAAATTTTATAGCAATTCAGAGGGGTGGGGAGGGTTCACATCCTCCATTTCAGGGGGGGCTCCTGCCTTCCTTAGTAGAAGACTCCTGTGTTTCCAAACCCAGACAATGGACCAAACTTAAATCTGCCTGAAAAACTCATGACCCCTGTCCATGCTGGGTGCAGCCCTGGGAGGCTCTGACTGCCCAAGGTGTGGCTGGTAAAGGCCTTTCATAAATCCCCACTTTATTCTCTGAACTCTGTCTGGCCTCTGTTCCAGGCAGCCACTCCAAGGCATCACTTTCACTCACTCTGAAATACAGACTGGAAGGAGAACACCAAGCAGGGAGGATCCCCCCCAAAAATTGGTCATTGTGCTGACCCCAGTCTCCCCCACACTCACCAGAAAAGTAATTTCAACATTAACCCAACCTGTACCTTTATCAAAAAAGGGTAAAATCAAGCTGAGGAGATTTTCACCACCTCCTTCATCGTGTGTTTTCTGTTTTGGCTGAAGCAGGGTCACCACAAGAATCAAAGGGCAGCCTGGGGGAAAAAATCCTGCCCCTGCTGGCTGCTTCTTACTGAGAGGGAAGGGGACTTCTTACTTTACTTCTTACTTTACTTCTTACTTTACTTCTTACTTTACTTCTTACTTTATTTCTTACTTTATTTCTTACTTTACTTCCTTTACTTCTTACTTTACTTTCAGAGGAGGCAAGACTCAAAAGAAAAGACTAAGAGAAAAGATGCTCTGCTGGGCCAAGGACCAAATGAAGGGTTTGGGTTTTTCCCTGAGAAGCCCCCACCTAAAAATAACCAGTTTAAAGTGAAACCAGGCACTTTTGCAGAATATTTACACAAATTGAAGGGGCCACCCCCATTTTCAGTGACCAAAGATTTCTCTTTGCTCCTACAGGAGGGAAGTTGTAGCCAGCAGGATTTTATTTTCTGTGTCACCTGCTGGTGCCCTGGTTTTGGCATGGATCAAGCACATTTGTCACTCTGTCAAGCCCTAATTTTAGTGATCAGGGTTGACTAAAGGACTGTGAAACCCTTGGTTTCATGTACATCTTATTTTAAGCTCTGCATTTCATTTATTTTTAGTTGGTGGCCATTTCTTTGCACCCTACTGCCGGCTGTGCCAAAATTTTGCAGTGATAACAACCTATATTTCAGAGTATTTTCACAAAAATATATCTGTGTTTTCCTCCAAGCTGCTTATGCCTTGTAGGGCTCTTAACAATATGTTATCTACACTTGAGCTTTAAAACAAGACTCCCTGCACAGACTGATTTCTTTTTAAAAAAATAAGTGTTTCTGCTCTGAAATGCTCACTGCATTTAGGGAAGGGTTGATGCAATTTAAATTATATCAACAGAAAACAGCAGAAATTCCTCTAAATAAAGCCACACCAAGGTCATGACTCACCACATCCTGCTCAATTAATATACATAACTGCACAATTAATACATATAATTGCTTAAATAATATAAAGCAAAGCAGCCTTACTGTTAGGGGGTGCTCAGGGAGCCACTGCCCTGGAAGTGTCCTCCCACTGCCCTGAAAACTGGGTAGGGATCACAACCTGGGAAAGCAAAAATGAAATATTTTATATATAATATAAATATTATATATATTTTAATATTCAGATAATATTTTAATATTCAGAGAAATTATAAAATAAGAAATTATAAAATAAGCAAAGGATGAAGGTCTGCAGTAGGAAAGTGCAGTGGTAGTGGAGCCATGGATGGCAAGTCTCTCTTAATGGTTTTTTTTCTGGAGGATGATGGGGAAAATAGGAGAAATCAAGGAAAACATAGGTGGGAATATCCCCTGGAGATGAAAGCAAGACTGATGTCTGAGCTAGGTCAGGGGTTTTCCCCATCAGGTTTGAACATCTCCAAAAAAGGACAAAAAGAAATCAGATTTTTCGAGGTCGAACCGAGATGTGTCCAGCAAACGAAGGCGAGCTCCTCCTTGGTCTGTGCACAGGGGATGGAGGCCAAGGTGGTCCTGTCCCCTCCTCTTCCACTCCTGCTGGGTGCTGAAAGCTCCTCAAGCTCCTCACGGGATCACTCTGAGGGTTACTGCTGCAATCCAGGTCTGAAAAGGAGAAAAAAGGAAATAAGGAATGAAACAGCACTGATGGCTGGCTCTGCTCCCATTTCATGCTGGTAGTTGGCATTTCCCTGGTTAATTATAATATTATAATTTATATTTCCCTGGTTAATTGTAATAAAAATATAATATTTATTGATTATGAATTATAATGTAATTATTTATTATGAAATATAATTCATAACATTTATACTATATATTTTCTATAATATATATGAAAAATATAATATAATATTTGGCATTTCCCTGGTTAATTGTAATATTTTTATAATATTCAAAACACTTTCTATAATAAAGGTGTTTTTATACTTGGGCTCACACAGAGTGAACTGATGAACAGCCACTACCTCCAAAATGGGGGAGCTCCCAGACACTACTGAATAAGGAAAAGTCCATCCATATGCTAGAGGTGATTTTGCAGCTGCCAAGAATCTGCCCTTTATGGGACTGGGATTTCTGGGCCCATCTCAGCAGTTCCAGTGGAAAAACAAAGATGGGCTGAGCAAGGACCAGCACAGCCACCTACACTGGGGTGTTTTGTGTTTGACTGCAAATAAAAAAAAAAAGGAATACAAGAGATAAAACTCACCAGATCTCTCCATATATAACACCTCTAGTGAGCCCTTCAGAGCTTCAATATCCCTCTGATGGATGTCCCTCAATGTACATCACCCCAGATATTACCTCTGTGTCTATAAACATCACCTGAGATCTCTACCCTGATATACATCTCCTGGTAAAGAGCTCCAGTATAAATCTCTTCTATTACAGATCTATAGTCCAATAAATGTCCTTTGATGCACACAACCTCTGCCAAGCTGCTCTCAGCCCAGCCCTGATGCATCACCTTGGTACCAACCCACCCTGGAGAGCTCCTCACCCATGCACAGCTGGCATGGACACCTTTGATAAACACACCTGGAGCTCCCCAAATCTCTGTTACACACCCAGCACATCCAGCATGGCACACAGCACCTTCAGGGAGCTCCTCAGAGCTCTGATAAATGTGTCACCTCCAGAGAGCCCCTCAGATTTCAATATGCATCCCAAACACCCTCCCTGGTGCACAAAACCCATTCAAGGGCTCCTCAGATTGCTGATAAATGTCTAACACAGGCAGATGTATGCACACCTCCACGTTCTGAACTGATGATTTTATGTACATCTGATATATGGCACCACACCACCTCCAAAGAGCTCCTCAGATGCCCAAAATACACCTGGGATACCTGCACAGAACCTCCAAGGAGCTCCTCAGATGTCCAGTACACACCTGAGATACCTCACAACATGCACAGAACCTCCAAGGAACTCCTCAGATGCCCAAAATACACCTGAGATACCTGCAGAGAACCTCTGGAGAGCTCCTCAGATGTCCAGTACACACCTGAGATACCTCCAAACCTGCAGAGAACCTCTGGAGAGCTCCTCAGATACAATATACACCTGAGATACCTGCACAGAACCTCCAAAGAGCTCCTCAGATGCCCAAAATACACCTGAGATACCTGCACACAACCTCCAAAGAGCTCCTCAGATGCCCAGTATACATCTGAGATGACTTCCAACATGCACAGAACCTCTGGAGAGCTCCTCAGATGCTCAGTACACACCTGAGATACCTCCCAACATGTACAGAATCTCCAAAGAGCTCCTCAGCTGCCCAAAATACACCTGAGATACCTGCACACAACCTCCAAAGAGCTCCTCAGATGCCCAGTACACACCTGAGATACCTCAAAACCTGCACAGAACCTCTGGAGAGCTCCTCAGGTGCCCACCACACACCCCAGGGATGCATCTCTGCTACACATCACCAGCAGAGAGCCGTGTCTGGTGTGGTGAGGCCAGACAGGAGATCCATGGGAACTGTTTCCCCTGGTTTTAACTCCATCCCAAACCCCTGGCAAGAACAGCAGGTGCAGTTTTGTGCCTTCAGGGCGGGTGTCCATCATGTCCCCCAGGAACATGGTCCAAAGGAGTCACATGGGGAAGCCTGCATTCCTGGAAACCTGGTCTAAGGTCATTGCCCAAGGAGAGATCTGGAAACAACTGGAACATTTCAGGGCAAAACACAGCAGAAACCTCCAAATGTGGAAAATTTGATGGAAGAGACAAAAGGTCAAGGTGCCTCTTGACTTCTCAGGCCAGTGTAGGTCCAGCCAAGAGATGTAGAGACCTGATCTGCTCAGAAGGGCCTGAGTCCAAAACTTCCACCACAACAGCAGGTGGAATATTAAGGTTATTTAAGGTAAAGAATTAATGTTCATGCCTTGGAGGAGCATGAATGGGCTGATGCCAAATACAAATCATGAATTTGGACTTGATTTTCATTGGATTTGTCCCGATATCTCAATGGAAAAGCTCATGTTTTGCACCAGTCCTTCACTCTATAAAGACTTTTTTCTATCCCACAGGAAAGACTTTTGCCATCTGGGCTTGCTGTGTGAACAAAACACAAGGGCTGGAGGAAAAGGAGCAGAAATAAGGCTCTGTCAGTGTTAAAAGAGCTCTGACAGACTGATTTTCATCCTTGGAGGTGGCCAGGCCTGAGGCCTTGGGTGCTGCATGCATTTAGGACAAAACCATTGCGCCGCCGTTTTTGTCCCCATCACGGGGAACACAAAGAGCCAACCCCAGCAGGGACATCTCCCTGAACACCCTTGCAGAGAGAGAGAGAGAGAGAAGTCTTTTTGAGCACTTTTAACAACTTCAAAAGGCATCCTTTGAAGTTTAGCAAAGGCCTTTGAAGTCCTCCCGGTGCGAAGGGGAATGGAGGAGATGCCTCCTCCAAGATGCTCCACCACAGGCAATGCAAGGCAGCAAGATCCTGGTGTCCCATGGCTGCTCATGCTTGTACTCAGCAGCTGCCCCGGGGTCATAACTGAGACACCATTTCTGACAAGTCATCAATCCCCACAAATGCCCTAAATCCTGATTTCCTGGCCTGAACAGCATCCAAAGCAGATTTGGGAGCCCAGTAACCTGGGACAGCGGCCTCTACCCCAGCTGCAAAAAGCCAAGGGCATCCCTGTTAACAAGTTTTAATGAAGTGTAAGGGGATGCTAATAAAGCTGACATTTAGCAAAAGAAAAATCAGGATTTTTTTGTAAAAAGCATAGGATTTTAAAGCAAGAAGGCTTTTCCCAGCATGTCACTTTGTTTCTCCAATGTGAGCAGGCCATGGTACTTCCAGCCTCATCATGTCAATGCTGTTTAATTGTGACTATCATGCTTTAATAAATTTAATGCCAGCTCCTCTGACTTAGAAGGAAACCACAAATGGTGAAATCCCCAGTAATGCTGGGTTTTGTTGAATTATTTTTATACCCCACACTATGCCCAGCAGCAAGCTCTACTGGCCCCAAGCTCCACACCCCTGGGGACAGCCAGAGACCTGTAGGTGTGAAAATCAGTACAAATGCAGAAATCAAAGCTCAAGTTTCAGTTAACCCTTTAAGGAGCTTCAAGGGATGATCATGACTCTCCAAATACCTTGGCAACACCTGCTGCCACCTGCCAGCAGGACTTCTGTGATAAAAACAAAAACCTTTGGTGTGTTGGGCTTTTCCCCACACAGTGCAATTTCTCTCCAGCCTCTGGAAAAGGGCTGGGACCAGGTTTTGGGGATGCTGGGGCAAAGAAGAATATAATATTTTCATTTCAGAAGTTAAACTGCTGATGCACAAACCCCACCCTTTCTCAGAGAAAGATTTGAGACATGCCCAAATATTTTTTATTTCTGCAAAAGCAAAGCTGCTCTGAGGCTAAACACAGTTGGGAGAGATGTGTGTGTTGGCAGAGCCCTGTGTAGGGGGCTCACATTTACCCAAACGGGGCACGTAGGGAAATATTGGACATCCCCTCCCCAGCCATGTGCATGTGAACACATCTGGATCCAGGGAACAAAAGCAGCCTCTCTCCACTGTGCTGATAAATAATGGAAAGGCAAAGTGCCCTGCAGAAGCAGCACCATACTGTTCAGCCTCGGGCCAGACGCAGGAAAATTCGGTGCCCATGAGGTCTGGAACAGTGGGATTAATAACACATCAATTTTAATGCAGGGTGGCTTATGAGGTTTTTTCCCTTTTCCTTTTTTTTTTTTTTTTTCCTGCTTCACAAACAGCAAAGTGAATGTTTGAGCATCTCAGTGGGGGGTTAATGAGGACTCTGATTAGTTATTCAGATTTGCCTGTGCTGCCTACATCCATCCTCGGATGGGGGAGTAGCAGGAAAGGATTTGCAGAAAAAGCTCTTAAAGATGACCTGCTTGGCTTTCACAGCTCAGGGTGATGAAGATGAAGGTTTTGGGGGGCTCATGTTACAGGGGTCCCCAGCCCCAAAATCCTAGTGCCAACTTTGAGATGGAAAAGTTTATCTTCCCATCATTTGTAGGGGATGCTGCTGCATGTTCAGCCATGCCAATTCCTGTAAAGTTTCTGGGGAAAACATTTGGATTTGTGGGATTTTTTTCACTTGAGAAAAAAAAAATTCATGAGTGTCCTAAATAAAATTTGTGTGCAGTGCTGGTCAGAAATGTAAGACCAAAAATTATGGATGGACAAATGAAGGACACATGGATTCAGGGATGCAAGGCTGCACAGATGCATGGATGAACACACATGGTGAAAAGACCCATGGATACATGGAGGCAAGGGTGGAAAAAAGGATGGATCACCCCTTAAGCCACCACTGGGCTGCAAAAATGCAACAACTGCTGCAGCATTTCCTACAGCCTCCCATAAAAGTCTAACAGTGGTTTATGTCCCTGCAAAAAAGCAATGAGCTCACCTCCTTGCTCCTTGACCCAGAGATATTTTGAGCAGGTTGAGCTCACATCAGTATTTTAAGAAGGTTGAACTCCTGTATTTTGGGGGTTTCTTTCCAGATTTAGGCTTTTGCTCTTCACCTGCATCAAAAATCAAAAGGGAACCTGAGAAAATAAACGGCAGGTTCCAAAATGATGCCACAAAAGGCCTGAAGGATGGAGCCAGGGAGGTGTTCCACGGCATTGCAAAGGGGCCAATAAAAAAAATTCAGGCATTATTTTAGGAGTCACTCTAGGATTTGTTATTTCTTCATCAAGAAGAAATATTTGAAGGATGAGCAGGAGGGTGAAGGCACTGCCTCAGTGATAAATTCATCCCAACAGTGACTGTCAACAGTGGATTTCTTTTTGGGTCTGGAGACCCAGCTGGGTCTTGCTTTGAGCATCTCTCAACCTAGCATCCAGCAGGCCTAAACTCTGGCATTTGTGTCATTCCCCACAACACCTGCCAGGATCTAAGGGGAAAGCCAAACTGGAGTTATCCTTCCAATCTCCTATTGAGGCACTCCATCCCAAAGAGGCTCTTTTCCCAAGGACTGCCTCCATATGCTTTGTCTGGGTTTTAAACGTGTGTTAATTGTTCTGAATTAACAGCTCCAGCTGGAGAAGCAAACAAGCAATTTGCAATTTAAGATAACACCCAACTTATCTCAAGTGATTTAAGTTGGGATTTTTGTTTGGTTTTTGGAGGGGTGGGGTTAGTGGGTTTTTTGAGGGGATATAATGTTTTTCTGGCTGTGAATGCACTGTCCAGAGCATGGCTAAAATCCCTTAATGCACCCAATCCATCAGGAGTGGCCATTGGCACACGGTCACAGGAGGAGGTGGGACGGTAGGACAAGGAGAAAAAATGACAAATCTCTGCATTTCACTTTGCTTTAGAGACAGGAAAAATCTAATATATCCTCATCACTTCTGGGCAAAGCACTGACTGCAGAAGAGTTAAGGATTATTTTCTCCCCAACACTTTTTATTTTCTATTACATAGAATAAGGGAATCTCAGAATGGTTTGGGTTGGAAGGGACCTTAAAACTCATCTTCTTCCAACTCCTGAACACCTTCCACTACCCCAGGTTGGTCTAAATCCCCATCCAGCCTGGCCTTGGATATTTCCAGGCATGGGGAAACCTGTGCCAGGCCCTCACCACCCTCACAGGGAAAAATTTCCATTTACAGCTTGTTTCAAAATATTCAAGCTCTCAAAAAAACCAAACAGCAAACTCTTTCAAACCTCTTTCAAGCTTTATCCCTTTGCCCTCTTTCATCTTTTTCCCTTTTGTTTTTTTTCATTTGCTGCAATATAGAGGAAGGGAGAAGGAAAGACCATGATGATTATTTGCTTACAAGACTGGATCTTCATTTTTTTTAAAGTTGTCATTTCAGCAATTTAAATCCTTTCTAATCTCACTCAGGGTGTGGGAATCAAGAAGGAAAGTCCACCCCTCTCTCCCCACCTTTCCATGCCTGGTTTTAAGAGGAGCTGGCAGCAAAACAGACTCCACAAGGAAAGATTTCTATGATTATGACCAAGTGTCTGTTGGCAGCTTGAGTGGAAACTCCTGCTGGTACCTGTCGTGGTTCCAGCCAGGAGAGGGTTAATTTCTGCAGTGGCTGGGAGGGGGCACGGCCAGGCCCTGGTTATTCTATACCAGTTCATGTGGTTTTTTGGGGGGAGGGGCAGGAAAGGGACTCCCTTCCCTGAGGAGCAGCTCTAGCCCAAGGTGAGCAGCTCGTACGTGAATCACTCTTTTTTTGGTACCCTTTTGTTATTAATACTGTTGCTGTTACTGTTTGTTTCCTCATTCTGGTTTCCAGTAAATTGTTCTCATTTCAACTCATCTTTTTGATGATGATTTTTGCTTTTCATGCCTCTAATTCACTTCTCCAGGAGGAGAAGGAGAGGAGAAAGGGGATCCAGTGAATGGCAGCATGGTTTGCAAACTCTCAGTAGAAGCACTAAACTGGGGGGACCATTCCTAAACCATGTCTCTACCCCAACCAAGATGAGTTGGGAGTCAATGTCCATCAACCCCCAGAAGTTTTCCAAGATTGGGTCCTATCAGATGGCTGGGGTCGTGGATGGGGTCATGGTCCTCCTACATGGCCTTCTGCTGAAGTTGGGACACTTTGTCCCCATTCTGTCTCCCTTTCCCAGAGGAAAAAATGTCTGACTGTGCCCTGAAGACATGAAGAAGGGACATTAAGATGCAAGGACACATCCTTCTCCAACAATGGGAGGCACCTCCAAAATACAGACCCAGCTCTGTGGGACTCAGGCAGCCTGGGATGCCCAGATCCCCAGTGCCAAGCTGTGCTACCTGACGACCTCTTGGCACAAGGATAAAGTAACAGGAGAAGCGATAAATCACTTTGGCACCTTCCCTGGGCATGGCAGCCCTTGATAAAAACCCAAAACTCAGGGGAGGGAGTGCGACACCACGCCATTCCCAGCGCAGATTAATCCTCCTTGATGGAGAATTACAATTAGGGCTTCGTCTTAAGGAGATATCAGCAATCAGATATCTTATCAAATGCCACCTCAATTATTCAAATAATCCCTGGCTCTTAGATTTGGGGGCTGTTTAGGGAAAGCAGTCCGATTAATGTGCTGACACTTCCCCATCACGTCCGACATCCTCAACTTCACGTCTGATTACGGAATTTGCATTCAATTTAATTTTTTCCATCTGGAGTAAATGAATAATCCGAGTACCTACCCCAGCCTTAATTACATTTGTTAAATTAAAAACCTGGGATGTGAGAAATTTAAATGCATGTAGCTCCATGGCCAGACAAACCTGCATGTTCAACCTGCCGCAGCCCTGCCAGCTCCTGCTCCAATTTCTCTTCCTTCCCCACAGCCAGGCATCAAGGAAATTACAACTAGAAAACAAAAATTCTTTCTAAACGATGAAACAATAGATGATCTTTTGACATTTCCAGCGCTGTTTGCAAGGGAATGAGATAAAATGTAATAAATTCATATACTTCTGTGTGTTTCTTGGCTCCAGCAGCTAAAATTTCCATCTCTTTATGCAGGAGTCCTGGGGAGCAGAAATCCTTGATAATGCCAAACAATTCGACACTTTATTTTCTCTTTACTCCACACCATGCAAAACACAGGCTTCAAGCTGCCAGCTGCTGGGAGTGAAACCAGATGCCACATCCCTTTTCCATATGGAAACAGAAATCTCCCTGTCTGGGGGGGCCCTGTGCTCCCCTCAGTCCCAGCCCTCCCTGACCCCAGGGCTGCTACTGGCACACAGCAAAGGCTCCCTCCAACAGCAAAAAACCACAGTTTCAATGGTGTAATTGTCATTTTCTACACTCAGCCTGGCTCAGGCTGGATTCTGGTACCATCAGACCCAGAGGACATGAAAAAAGATTCGCCCCAAGCTACCACCACGTTTCCTAATTTTAAAATAAAGGAGTAAACAGAGAGGCGTGAGTAAAACTACTGAACTTGATAAATTTTTCAAAATAAACTTAGCAGAAGCTTGCTGAGTTTCCCTTCTTTTGGAGATGATGAAATTTAAAAGGATGGAATTAATAGGTGGACATGAAGTGATGATAAGAAAAGTGTCCAAATAATTAACGAATAATTAAACAGTAAATGGAAGATAAAGCATTACCAGCTCACACCATTTTAGGAGGAATATTTCACAGATTAATTGGAAATGGGAAATGTCAAATAAATAAATTTAGGTGTTGATCTAGATGTCAGCAGCAATGAAAACATTGGGGAAAGTCTTTTCTCAACACTCACAAAGACTGAATTAAATAACTTACATGAGAGTGAGTGCAATGATAGCAATCCCCCAGTTTGAGGCATGTGAGACCAGGAATAAAATATGGTTAAAAATATTCAGGGAAAGCCACACTCAGGTAAAGTGAGACAGGGGAGCACAGAATCAAAAATAGTTTTCCCTTTTCTCCCAGCATGCTTGCAGCTCAGACAACACTTTCTGCACTCCCAGAAAGATGGATTTTACCCCAAAAAAATCCCTTCAGAGGGGTGTGACAGAGCATCCCCCCAGGCACAGTGGCCATCAGATGTGGCCACCAGGTCAGGCAACTCAGATGCAGTCTAATGGAACGAGAACCTGTGGTTCCTCATCCTTCCTGACTTTCTTCTGCTTTGTTTGGAGTTAACAGTTATGGCTCCAGAGAAGCAAACATCATGTTTTAGCAATGAGGTCCCCAGCGAGGCTGTTTAAAAATTAATTAGTGCCATGCAACGTATTAGCCATGAACAGTAATTTTAGCTTTTGTACCTTCTTCATTGCCTTCTACACGGTTGTTATTCCAGCTTTTCCATGGTCCTCTCAGCCAACCAGGACCTACATAGAGCATACCAAGGAAATTATTGGCTGTGTCTCCTGGAAATGCCCAATTCAACAGCAAACACACACCCCAGCGTGACCTTTCTGAAGCTTTTAAATGAATTAGGGTCATATTTGCTGAGCTGGCTGGAAGGCTGGGAGCCTGCTCTGCTCACAGAGGTGCCCATCATCCCCACCCAGCAGCTGCCTGTCCAAGGGCAGGCCCTGAGCAATGTGGGTGTTGTGGTGTGGAGGAGGCTGTGGGTCATGGCTCCAGCCAGCATGGAGGACAGAAGTCCTCCCTCCATGGACAGACATGGGTGGAGATCACCCAGACCTGGAGAGGGAGAACCTTCCAGGATGGAGGTCTGCCAACCCCAAGGTATCTGCCAGCCCCAAGGTTGAAGATTTTCTTCCAAACCCAAGGAAGAAGATCCTCATATCCCAAAAATGGAGATATGCTCCCAACTCTGAAGGTGAAGATGCTCAGGGATGGAGCTCCACAAAACACAAGGAAGAATCCACGTAACCCCAAGGCTGGGAATTCTCCCAACCCCAAGGAAAGGGATCTCCCAACCCTGCAGGTGGAGATCCCAAAATTCAAGGATAGAGACCCACAAACTTCAAGGAGTGAGCTCCTAACCCTGAGTATGGGGATCCACCAACCCTGACAATGCAGAGCCCTAAAACCCACGGAGCCTCACAACCCTGAGGCCAGAGATTCTGCAGACCCCGAGGATGGGGGTCCCCCACCCAAGAATGGAGAGAGAAATCCCCTCCAGGACAAAGACCCCCACCAAACCTAAGGATGCAAACCCCATTTCCCCCAATCCCATGGAGGGCAATCACCCCCTGGGACATCAGTGGCTGAAATCTTCACCCCACACTGCAAGGAGCAGAACCTGGGGTCACCACCCTGGTCTGGTAATGGCCACCCCCCAAAGTGCAACCCCAAATGAGCCCTCACTGTGCTCCTTTGGCAGTGGGAGAGGCAGCAGGGACCGAGGAGCCTCGCTGCGTGCACTGCCTCCAGGTGGATTGCGGAGCTGAGGGGAAATTCGCTGGGACATCTGGAATATATTCATTTTATGGCATGTTTCATATCACAGACAGGTACTTTGAAGCAGTTAAGTAGTAGCAGGGCAGCACGTCCCCATGGGTGGGCTGTGGTTTGTGCTTTCAGCCCGAGCTGCACCAGCATGACAAAGGGGCTGGGGAGACAGAGCTGACGTTTTCCAAACACAGCTTTGTGCCTCTGGGGGCAAATCCAGCAAGAAATTAAAACCCAAAAGGCCAAAAAAAAAAAAAAAAAAAAAAAAAAAAGAATAAAAAGGAAAAAATAAAGAAAACAACCCCGAGTCTAAGTGATGTTGATCCCCACATCAGGCTATTAACAGGCCCATCACAAATTGTAAATGACTCAGATAAATTAAATGGCTTAGCAACTGTGAGGAAAGGCCCTTCTGAAGATTCATTTGTTTTGCGGAAAAGAAATTATTGGGGAATTTTAAATCTTTTCCAGCAGCTTGACACAGGCACCCTGTCAAGCCCACATATTGCTGCTCATGCAGCCCTGGGAGCCAGTCAGCTCTGAAAGAAGTGAGAGAATCACAGAATCCCAGAATGGTTTGGGTTGGATCTTAAAGATTCTTCCGTGATTGGCAAATGCCCTTTCCACCATCCCAGGCTGCTCCAAGCCCTGTCCAGCCTGGCCTTGGGCACTTCAGGCATCCAGGGCAGCCAAAGCTTCTCTGTGCCAGGGTCTCAGCACTCTCACAGGGAACAGTTTCTTTCTGATATCTAAACCTCCCCTCCTTCAGTTCAGTGCCATTGAAGTGCTCTGTGAGCCTCCAGAAGCAGGGGGATACAGGAATGCTCCTGCAGGGGAGCCACTAACGAGGCTGCACCTCCTCCTAGAAAAACTGTTCAAAGCCTCAGCCAGTGAGGAGGTCTGAAAATGGGATGATTTGACCCAAACCATCTCCATGCAGAGGGAAAGCTGGCAACTGAGCTGCAATTAAAAAAGAAATGGGGGACACTAACACAGGGCAAGAAGTTAGGGTTGCAACTCTGAGTGCAGTGAGGCGCAGTGATGCCAAAACCTGCAGTGATCCCCGAGCCCAGGGAGCTGCAGTGATTTACCCCCCAAAGCAGGGAGCCACTGCTTTCCTCCCTGCTAATTCATGAAATTCAGGCATTAAACCCACCTGACTTCAGAGGCAAAGCCCAACTCCCATTCACAGCCCTTACAGCTCATGCAAAATTCAGGGCTTGTTCACCTTCAGACGCTATTTCACCAGCAGCAGCAACTCAAAACCCCTTTTAGTGGAAGTTCAGAGGTATAAAAGATGCAAAACACCCCTAAATTATTCACATGGTGTTTCAATCAAAGCCACACTATGGGGTAAAGGGAAGGATCTGGTGGCCCTGGGGATGTCTCCCCATCTCTGTCTGGATGGGAAAACCCTGCTTGTATTTATTGGGGAGACAATAAAATAAAAGGGTTTTCTGTGTCCAGAAAGGGCTGGAGAGTGAGGAATGCAAGGAGTATCCATTTTTCAGGTGCATCCAACCAGAGAATCCTGGCTGCATTTGCCCTTTGGCAACACTGAAGCTTTTCCAAACTTTTATAGCACCAGAGGAGTAAAATTCAAGTGGGGCATGGGAAGAGAAATTGCAAACCAAGAAATCCAGCAAAAAAAGATAGAAACAACTAAAAAAAAACCAAAAAAACAGGAAATTCAAAAATTATTATTTTGTATTTCAAATACAGGAGGCTTTCAAAAAAGGAAAAGCCTTGGAAGAGACTTCCATTTTTACCTCTCTGTTTTGCTTCTTTCTCTTTTATTGAGCATCCAGGTGCTTCTGAGTCAGGATTTCTATTTCCAAAAATTTTGGATTTTTCTTGGGGCAAAACCCCAACAGCCCAATCCAAAAAAAACCCAATCCCAATCCCAAAAGTAGGACACAGAGCCCTGCTCAATCCAGCCTCAGCTTGAGGCTCACTAATTACCCAGTAACAGTATTTATATGCTGCCGGCACACTCGGAAATGCAGCTCCTAATAACCGAGGTCGGCATCAATATTAATGTCCTGCCTTGACTCTCCATACTCAGGGACCAACAAAAAGAGAGACAAAAAAAAACAAAAAAACCATCACAGCAAAGTGAAAGAGGAGCAGAAAATGAATTTTAGAAGTATTTTTCTGTGTTCGGGCAGGAAAGGAATGCTTGAGATTAAATAAGGGGAGCAGCAATAAGAGCAAATGTAAGTTCCCATCTCTGAGGTATAAATCTTCACCATGCAAACTTTGAATTTCCCCACAGGTAGGAAGAGGCCAGAAAAACCCTTCTCTTCCTGTGATGGGAATAGATTTCTAGAACTCAGGGCCTTCCCCTGACCAGAGTAAGACATTCAGATTCAAATATTCACCCCTGCAAAATCCAGTCCCCTTTTGGCTGCTCATGCAAAACCCCAGGCTTTGGGTTGGCTCAGCTGGAAAGCACCTCCTGAGAAGCATTTCTTTTCCAGGGATAGTTTGGGAGCATATCCCCCCAGATCCAATATTCTATTGCATGCAAATGCACACAGAATATCTGCAGAAATTTGGCTACTCAGGGCACAGTGTGAGTTGCATACATGTCCCAGCACTACTCCATAATTCGATTAAAAACCGTCTTTTCTTAATAATTTCCACTTGTCACACCAGGAGCATTAAGGCAGAGTTTAAATGGAGTTAATAAAGTATTAATAGCCTGCAGTAAGGCTGTGATGGATTTGAGCTGCATGTGATCAGTACCCCTGGTACAGGTTCTTACTGCCAATGTCCGTGCTCGGAGCACAGTGAAAAAACCAAAGGTCTTCCATGAAAAATGCAGTTCCAGGAAATCAGAAATTTCTCTTTCCATTTCTCCATTTTTCATGGAAAGATGCATGTTTTGGGGGATTTTTCCCATCAAAATGAAAGCTGGCAGCTGAAGAGCAAGCATGGATGTGGCATTTACTCTGTGGAGCATCAGGTGTGGTATCAACCCACAGCACTGACACATTAATTCATGTTAATTAATACTAAAAGAAAACAAATGGAAGCCTTAATGTTCATGTCCAAGAATTCAACATTAAGACATTCCTGCACCATCATTTTGCAATACTTTCTTCCCAATGCACTTTGAGAATTTCCTTAATTTCAGTCAAATTCCAAGCAAGAAAAGGGCAAATTGTGGAAAGAATTTGAAAACAGAAGCTCTACTTCCCCCAGAAACTGTGGCCATGAAGCCCTTACTGACACATTTTGAGCTGTTATTAAACAACATCAACAGCAACATTGACCCTTCAGAGAAGACCCAGCTCTGTATTGATGAAGACAACAGCAGCAGGTAACACATCAATTAACCCTTCAAAGACCAGCCCTGAGTTAATGACTACAAAGCAATGAGTAAAGTGTTGATCCTAGAGAGAAGACCCAGCCCTGCATTGATGATTGCACTGTGTAGAAGCAGGACTCAAGCCAACTGCCTAAAGGCTGCCATAAAAATCAAATGCTACTATTAAGTGATTTCAGATATGGAAAGAAATCTCCAGAGACTCATTATAACCTCGTTTGGCAATTTGGGTGGAAAGCACACTCTGCAGTTGAAGCCTTGGCTATCAATTCTGGTCAAACTTGAGATCTTTCTAAAGAGCCATTGTGTGACCCACTGGAAATGGCAATTTTTCATATGGAATTTTCCCCAAAGCTTAAATCCCCTCTTTATTCAGTATTTCTTGGTTCTAACTTGTGGAAAGAGGCTGTGAGGTCTATTCCAGGAGGAGCAGTCTGTGAGAAAATGTCAGAGGGTAAAAACATCTCAGGGAAGAAAAGCGAGGATTTCCACTGGAGGGGCTGAGTGGCACCACCAGAGGACCCAAACCCAAACCAGGAGGGTTTGTTTGGTCTGTTTTTCGTTGTTGGGATGATGAAAGATGAGAAGTAACACCTTCTTCCACCTTCTCCAGCTGTAGGTCACCTTTTGGGCATT